GACCATTGTTGTTGTTGTTGTTATGTGCCGTCGAGTCAAATCCTACTCATAGCGACCCCTCCTTGGGTTTCCGAGGCAGTATCACTACGGAAGTAGGGTTGCCCAACCTTCCTTCCAAGGAGTGGCTGGTGAGTTTGAACCGCCAGCCGTCTGGTTAGCAGGCGAGTGTCTTAGCCACTATGCTACCAGAGGAGACCATTAGCTGCATCTTAAATGGCCGCTTGAAAGCTTTTAAGACCCCAGTCGCTACTCACCAATGTAGGAGGAGGAAAAAGAGTTTTATGTATTTTGTTGTGCCAATTGAGTCTGGTGTCCCCCAGTACTATGGTCCTGACTCAGTAGATCTGTTGGATCTCTCTCCCACAGTGTCTGGCCGTCTTAGAGGATTACTCTATGTCTGTCTTCTGTTGTTTCTGTAAGGATGGAGGTATTTTGTATCACTGGTATCTGTGCAAGATTAGCCTCTGCTGAATCTATCCTTGGTCTAGAGTATATGCCTATTCACTGACCCCCATCTGATTTTCTCAGATGTTTATGTGTTTATCTGTAGCCTGGTGTTTTGTGTTAATGGTAATGCAGTATTATGGATATACTGGTTGGTATTAGCATCTGTCATCTATATCTCATGTGCACAATTCAGTGTCCTCCCTTTTCCTAATGCCATCCATCATGGTGGTCACAGACTCTGTCTATACCATCCTTCCCCTTACCCACATCAGCGTGTGGCCCCCAGCTTGCCCAAAATTAATCCTTCCCCTTCCCTCCCCACCCCAGTAATCTACAAAGTGAGTTCCCTTTCTCAAGCAAACCCTTCTTTGTCTTTTTGCAGTAATGGGTTCATACAGTATTTGTCCTTCTGCGATTGACATATTTCACTCAGCATAATGTCCTCCAGGCTCATACAGATTCTTGACTGGGGCTTATGAAGCCCTATACGATTTGGCTGCTGCCTGCCTTTCTACCTTATCTCATGCTGTTTTTCCCCTTGCACATCATGCTATTCTCAAAGTCTTTCTATTCATGGAACATACTAAGTGTGTTTCTACCTTAGGACCTTTGTTATTTATTACTCTTTCCTCTTCCTGAATCCTCTTTTCGCCCAACTCTGCGTGATTGTAATTTCAGATGAAAGGAAGTTAGAGGTTGTAGATTTTTATTTCAGATCTCAGCTAAAATGCCTTCCTCTTCCACTATCTTTTTCACAGTGGCCCTCCACTCTATCATATATCAACTTGTTTTATTTCCCTCAAAGGAATGTATCACCATCTAAAATTATCTGTTAATTTGTTTCCTTGCATTAATGCATTGCTTTTTTCTTGTCATAAGTACAGAAGATCCATGAGGGCATGGACCATCTTTGTCTTGTTCGTTGATATATATTCAGTGCTTAGAACAATGTCCAGTAATGGTTGACATATATCTGCAGAATAAATTCACAGAAATGGAATTGCTGAGTCAAAAGGTTGTACCTACTTATACTTTTACGAATTATTGTATGGGTGTTTCTGTTTCTGCACACTAGAATTTTCAGGCTTTTTAATCTTTGTCAGTCTGGTAGGTGAAATATATTATTACCTTGTTGGAGACATCACTACTGTAACACCATTAAGGCATTCTCAATTTTGGCTTTGACATTGTTCAAATCCCAGGCATTGTAAAAACATCCATGCTTGTTGAGATCAACAACCCCACTCTTAGGAATTTATCCTCAAGAAAAATTGAAAAGAAAAAAAAAAAAAGAACTGTATTCCCAGCCAGCTACCCATAGTCACAGGGGACATCAAGCTCAATTGGCATAACATACTACACAAAACATTATTCCACATCCTACTGTGACAAATAGCAACTGGGATCTTAAAAGCTTGCAAGCAGCCATCTGGATGCAATGATGCATCTCTCTTCAACCAGAGCAAAGAGGAATGAAGAAAACCAAAGATTCAAGGAAACAATTAGTCCAAGTGACTGGTACACTATGCAATCCTCAGCCTGTACGACTATAAGACCAGAAGAACTAGATGGTGATGGTGCCCAGCTACCACTGTCAACCACTTGGAGGGGATTTATGTACGAGATCCTGGATAGAGTGGGAGAACGATGTGGAACCAAATTCAAAATCATTTGAAAAAAAAAAAGGGGGACCAGATTTGCTAGTCTGATAAAGCCTGATGGAACCACTGAGACTATGGCCCCTAGCCGCCCTTCAGGTCTGGAATTAACCCACTCCTGTGGCTTCCAGCCAAACAGAGGACAGGCATATGAACTGAACATTTACACTAGGTGGATACACTCCTTGGAGAGAACAATCATGGGAGAATAGAAGGGCTGTGTATGCACAGGGAGACAGTTTAGGGGGCAGGAGTACATGGAGGGAAGGACACAGGGAAGAGGTAACTGTGGGGAGGAAGTGGGGGGGAGCTGTTCCATTGTGGGAAATTGTAGTCAATGTCATGAGACAAAGTGTATGTGAGCAGCGATAGGAAAAGTGAATTTTCTCTGTAAACTTTCACCCAAACCACAATTTTAAAAACTGTTGTATATAGAAATGAGCCAAATACACTTTATATGGTCTGAGGTACAGAATACCATTTCCCAAATGTTTACTGAAATGTTATGAAAAAATGGTTTTTTTTAATTGGAATTACCTAAACAGGTAATAGTATAACACTAGGGAGAAGAAAGTGAAAAGCTTCTTCTGAACAGAGTATTATGCCACTTTTAAAAATAATTCTACAGCTGTGTCACAAAATGGAAATATGATAAGTGGAAAAGCAAAATTGATGTTTCCTCTTGATGATAATTACATCAAATACGTAAATATTGGAATAGAGAGCAGAGCAAAATGTAGACAAGTTGAAATCAGTCATAATAGAGTGGTGAGTTTTTGTTTCTAAAACTTCCTTTTATATGTTGTTATATTTACCATATGACCACATTTTTAAATTTTTCTCTAGGAAACACTGACTGGAAAGTATGGGGAAGACTCTAAGCTTATCTATGACCTGAAGGACCAGGGTGGAGAGCTGCTGTCTCTTCGCTATGACCTCACTGTATCTTTCTAAACCTGGGCTCTTGACAGTTTGGATGGATTGGCTGTCGTTGGGCTGGGGCTGTCTCTAGTCTTGGGTTTAGGGACAGGCATATATAGGTAGGATCAAATATGAGGCCATTGGCAATCAGAGGAATTATTTTTTTAAACAAGAGGGGGACTTTGGCTAAACACCATAGCCTTAAAAATCTTCTAAAACCTGAGTGAGACCTTAGTTTTATGTGAGGGCCCAGCTCCGACTACCATCAATCCCTTGACTCTAGAACATCTTTTTCCCTGCTCTGTCCAGTGAATAAAGTCCTCCTTAATTGGCCAATAGTACCTTTAACTCCAAGCTATGTCAGAAAGGCATCTGCTTTGATATCCCAGATGGTGCCCTTTCTCTGCTCCTTGGCCCATCTGCCTTGCCTCCTGCCATGCTCAGCATAGCTCAGGGGAGCTACTACCAAAGGTAAAGGAGTCTTAACCTTGTTTGAGACCTTAACTGTCCCTTGTGATGGCAAAGTTAATTCTTTCTGATACTCAGAAATGCTGTTAATGTTATGGGTGTTGGTTTATCCCACACAGGGAGTGGTTAGACCTCAGCTTCTGTTAGTGATGATAACCAGCTTCCAGACTGGTTGTGATAGGAGGGGCTTTCTCCTTAACCCTCATTCATCAGGTTCCTTTTGCTCGATATTTGGCAATGAATAAACTGACCAACATTAAACGCTACCACATAGCAAAGGTTTATCGGCGGGATAACCCAGCCATGACCCGCGGCCGATACCGGGAATTCTACCAGTGTGTGAGTGTTGGGAAACTATGGGGCAGGATGGGTAACAGGCCTTCTTAAATCTTAAACCAGCAGTATCTATGGCATACTCATGGATCCTGAGCAAACTGGATGCCCTAGATAATAATCCTTAGGTTTCTTTGGTGTTTTCATATAGATTTCAAAATGGCCTTGTGAGGAGGGCGTGACAGGGATTATTAGCTCCATTTTACCTGTGATTAAACTGGAGACTAGCAAAGTGAAGAGATCATGGGAGTAAGAAAGGTGAAGTCAGGACTGGAACTCTTGGTCCATCACTCTTTATATTAAACCACAGTGATAGGATCACAACAGAGGATAGGGAAATTGGATTTGAAGTTATTGAATCATCCAGACTGAGGGCAGAGCTTCTGGATGAGTAGAGAAAATGGCTAGCTAAGGACTAGGCTGGATAATTTCCTACAGCACTAGGAAGAATTAAGAAAGAAGCAGATACGTGGATAATGAAGGAGTAGTCTGGATGGTAAGGAAATTAGGATGGTTGAAAAGCCCAGGCTTGCCAGGGTTTTCCATTGGCCTAATGATCAGACAGAGAATGAAGGTATCTCTGCTTGAGTGCACAGGCCTTCATAGAGAACAGACTCCCAGAGCCCTTAAGAAGGCTCAACCCTAACTGTACCTCTAATTATCCCTTTTCCTGCAGGATTTTGACATTGCTGGGCAATTTGATCCCATGATCCCTGATGCAGAGTGCCTAAAGATCATGTGTGAGATCCTGAGTTCACTTCAGCTGGGCAATTTCCTGATCAAGGTCAGAGCATAACTGAGCTGGTAAGGCCAAGCTGGGCCTGGCCTCTCGCAGGAGAAGGTCCTTGGGCAGAGAGACCAGTAGCCCAAATGACCAAGGCTATTGAGGATTATGTAAAGGAAGGAAATTCCCTCTTCATTCCCTGCAGGTGAATGACCGACGCATCCTAGACGGGATGTTTGCAGTCTGTGGTGTTCCTGACAGCAAGTTCCGCACCATTTGCTCCTCAGTGGACAAGCTGGACAAGGTAACAATCCAGACTCCTGACACCTGTTTTTTCAGATTCCACCTTGCCTTGGGAAAACAAGTTTGGAGAAAAAGGTACCTGCCTTTAAGCCCGTAAGAAGAAGAATAACCCCCAAATGTAGTGTAGCTTCTACACCAGTGTTGCCCCTAAGGAAGGTCCACACTTGCTCTGCCATGGGGAAGCTGCCCAGGGGTCTCTGACTGGTGTCTGTCTTCCAGGTGTCCTGGGAGGAAGTGAAGAATGAGATGGTGGGAGAGAAGGGCCTTGCACCTGAGGTGGCTGACCATATTGGGGACTACGTCCAGCAGCATGGTAAGTAGCAGAACCCAGGTTCCCCAGAAGCAGTTCCACTGCCCTCAGTCCTGAAGTTGAAACTCTTCCCTTTGTGTGTTTATGTGTGCAGGGAAGCAAGTCTTTGTATGATGTGCATGGATGCAC